GCTGGAATTCCTTAATATCCTTCTTTAACCCAGCTCAAGCAGAAGACTTTATCTGAGTTGGATTTGCACCCCAGATTCTTTAAACAATTGCAGTTTTCATTCTTTTACATACAGAAACAGGATCTATCATGTGTTGTGTATTTTCCTTTTTTCTTCACTACGCCACTAAGGGTTTACCATGGAGCTGGTCCCATAAAGAGACGCCAAATTTCCTTGTCTATATACATGAATGGTATTAAATGTGGGAATGACTAAATACTAGTGGTTAATATGTTAAATCCTTCCAAATTCTGGATATAGACAGCTGATTAAGAGCCTGGACAACCTCTCAGAATCTTAGGATGGAACAATAAATTTTGCTCAGACCAAAAAAAGAAAAACTAATGAGATTATAAACCCCACCCCAGTTGTCAATGTCCTCCATTTATTTTTGGGGATTTCTGGTGGATAGTTTATCAACTGATTTGAGCTAGTAAGATCATTACCGTTTGAAATGTACATGTCCAAGTCAGAATTAGAGCGGGTGTGGACATTGAAACTTTTCATCGCTCTAGATAAAACAATAATGTGTGTTGACTTTAATTGCTAATCTGGATTAGATTTGCTGATAATCCTGTCCTGCTTTGCCGTTCCTATGAAAAAACAGGAAGATTTAGATCTCATGAGTTACATTGGAGTCAATTCTTACCGGTTTTCTATATCATGGGCAAGAGTTCTACCCAGTAAGTATTTTCATTCCTTCAGAAAGTGTCCACTTTGATTAATAGGATCCAATGTTCTCATATCTAAGTCACTTGTATTGTAACTTTGAACCAGAAGGAAGATTTGGAAAAGTGAATAGAGCCGGCATTGACTACTATAACAAGTTCATCGACGCTCTTCTGAGCAGAGGTCTTCTTTGTTACCATTGTTGATGTGATCATCCAATTCATTTTTGCTGTATTACTTGGTCAAAAATCATCTATAACTTCTAGTTCTTGTACAAATATGACAAATATTTAAGTACTTCCTCAACAATATCCATGTCCTGTTCTAGGAATCCAGCCATTCGTGACATTGTCTCATTACGACATTCCTCAGGAACTTGAAGACAGATATGGAGCTTGGCTAAGCCCCAAACTGCAGTATGTAGCAAGATTCCCCATCTGTCTTAACAAGTTACTAATAAGCAAGAACTATGGGATGCAATTTAATTTAATTTTGCAGGGAGGATTTCAAATATTATGCAAATACATGTTTCAAATTCTTTGGGGACAGCGTTAAGTACTGGGTGACTTTCAATGAGCCCAATGTTGTAGTTATTCGTGGCTATAGGTCAGGGGTTTACCCACCATCTCGTTGCTCTAGCCCATTTGGGAATTGTACTAGTGGGAATTCAGAGAAGGAGCCTTTCATTGCAGCTCATAACATCATTCTATCCCATGCAGCTGCTGTGAATATATACCGAACCCAATACCAGGTTTTCAATAATGTCCTGTCTTCATCAAATTTGTAGGTTTAACTTAAGATTGATTCGTGAGTAGAATTGATTCGGCTTTGTTCTAATGCATGTCTTTTACACTCAGAAAAAACAAGGAGGTAGCATTGGAATGATCATGAATGCTGTATGGTATGAACCCATCAGCAACTCCTTAGAAGACAAGTTAGCAGCTGAGAGGGCTCAATCTTTCTATGTGAACTGGTAAGAAGTTTCTCATATTTCTCTGGCTATACATCCATACTGAAGGATGGTCACACAACAACGAAAATGTTCAATGCAGGTTCTTAGACCCGATTGTACATGGGAAATATCCTGCAGAAATGCAGGAGATTCTAGGAGCTGATTTGCCTATATTTTCAGAATCTGATGTGGAGATGCTGAGGAAGAACAGATTAGATTTCATTGGCATCAACCACTATACCAGCTTTTACATAAAAGACTGTATCTTTTCTGAATGTGAACCAGGACCAGGAGCTTCAAGGACGGAGGGTTTCGCTTTGCGAACTGCAGAAAAAGATGGAGTCTTCCTTGGAGAACCAGTATGTAATATCTCATCTTGTCATCATCACCACAACAATTAATTTCTGCAATTTACCCAAACATTTTGTTGATGTAGACTTCGGTTGACTGGCTGTATGTCTACCCTCAAGGAATGGAGAAGATTGTAACGTACGTAAAAGACAGATACAATAATACACCAATCTTCATCACAGAAAATGGTAAGGTGCAAACTCAGATCTTTGATTAAAAAGTGACCTCCAAACCCCAATTATTGGATCCAGAAATTCTTATATAATTAGAGTGGGTCTTGTAGGGTTTGGTAAGACTGATAATTCGAATTCCACCAATGAAGAATTACTCAATGATGTCAAGAGAGTGGAGTACATGAGGTCCTACTTACATGCACTAGCAGAAGCAATGAGGTATGCCAAGGCATGTGGGACCTCTTGCATTTAGTTCTTGAACTTTAAGTTACACTCAGCTATCATTGTCACCAAACGAGTGCACGCAACGTTCCTCTCTTAATAATCAATCATGTCATCACTGCACACAGTTATTGGATACAATAATTTTATGGTAATAACATTGTGGTGTTTTGCACACAGTTCAAATTTGGTGGAAATTAATTGAATTTTTGATAATATGGTCAGGAAAGGAGCAGATGTAAGAGGGTACTTCGTGTGGTCGTTGCTTGACAATTTCGAGTGGACCAGTGGATATACTGTTCGGTTTGGACTTCACCATGTTGATTATGCCACTCTCAAAAGAACTCGAAGACTCTCAGCGGATTGGTACAAACAATTTATTTCTAATCATACGGTGGAAATTTTAAGTGCCACAGCATGATCAAGAAAATCAATGTAGAGAGCACTCAACAGCAGCTATAGAGTAGTGAATGCGCCGCCTTACACCAGAGTTCGATTCTCCTCCTCGTACATTAGAGCAGTTTATAATAGGGAGATTCACTATTATATCCAATATAAGAGCCCAAATTATAAAAAATAAAAAAACCCTATATGAAATGGACTTTAGAAACACACCAAAAGCCCATTTACAACATAAGAAAAAGACTTTTAAGTTCTTTTAAATTACAAAACTGTCATTAATTTCTTAAAACAAACCCAACCCCAAAACCTCATAAAAAAAATCCAAAACACTCAATAGGGCATCAAAGTAATTTAATAATCAAAATTAAATTCAATAGGGCCAGCTATCATTTTTGGGGTTTGTTTATAGAAATTAAATGGTGTGGGGTTTATTCATAGTTTTAGTGCTAAGAATGGGTATATGACTAAATATCTCTCTATAATATTGTGTCTGTCAAAAAATAAAGCCATCTTCCCAGTCATGTAGTGTGTATCTTCCCAAAGAGCCTAAAAATCCCGGTTTTCTGAAACATAGAATGATCTAGAGAGACAATGCTATATTGAAGTGTTTAACAATCAAAACACAGGGTATCTGATCATCAAGATCATAGCCATGGACTTGGTTAAAAAAATCATGCTCTGTTCCGCGGGATATGGTTTAATTAGACAATTGTATTGTAGGTTTCCTTCTGTTCACCGGTTGGAAAAATTGTATTGTACATTTTTTAGTAAATAAGAACAATGTTTGAATTGATGTATGAATTGGCCCTGTTGAATTGAGTATAGCCGAGCGGTTATACGTTTAAAATATTCTATTTATGGAGTATGGCCGAGCGGTTTGAACCCATCAGCAACTCCTTAGAAGACAAGTTAGCAGCAGAGAGGGCTCAATCTTTTTATATGAACTGGTAATAAGAAGTTTCTCATGTAATATTTCTCTAGCTATGCATCCATACTGAAGCATGGTCACACAACAACGAAAATGTTCAATGCAGGCTCTTAGACCCAATTGTGCATGGGAGATATCCTGCAGAAATGCATGAGATTCTGGGAGCTGATTTGCCTATATTTTCAGAAAATCTGATGTGGAGATGCTGAGGAAGAACAGATTAGACTTCATTGGCATCAACCACTATACCAGCTTTTACATAAAAGACTGTATCTTTTCTGCATGTGAACCAGGACCAGGAGCTTCAAGGACGGAGGGTTTCACTTTGCGAACCGCAGAAAAAGATGGAGTCTTCCTTGGAGAACCAGTATGTAATCTCTCATCTTATTATCATCACCACAACAACACTTAATTTCTTGTGCAATTTACCTAAGCTTTTTGTTGATGTAGACTTCCGTTGACTGGCTGTATGTGTACCCTCAAGGAATGGACAAGATTGTAACCTACGTAAAAGACAGATACAATAATACACCAATCTTCATCACAGAAAATGGTAAGGTGTAAAGTCATATATTTGATTAAAACTGACCCCTCCCCTCCCCCAAATACAGCCGGTCAAATATTGAATCCGGAAAAAGATTCTTATATCATTGGACTGGGTCTTGTAGGGTTTGGTGAGACTGAGATTCCGAATTCCACCAATGAAGAATTACTCAATGACGTCAAGAGAGTGAAGTACATGAGGTCCTACTTACATGCACTAGCAGAAGCAATGAGCTTACATGCACTAGCAGAAGCAATGAGGTATGCCAAGGCATATGGGACCTCTTGCATTTAGTTCTTGAACTTTAAGTTACACTCAGCTATCATTGTCACCAAATGAGTGCACGCAATGTTCTTATCATAATAATCAATTACGTGATCACTGCATACACTCCTTGGATGCTATAATTTTCTCCATATATGGTAGTGACATTGTGGTGTTTTGCAAACAGTTCAAATGTGGTGGAAAACTAATTGAATTTTTTATTTTTGATCAGGAAAGGAGCAGATGTAAGAGGGTACTTTGTGTGGTCATTGCTTGACAATTTCGAGTGGACTAGTGGATATACTGTTCGGTTTGGACTTCACCATGTTGATTATGCCACTCTCAAGAGAACTCAAAGACTCTCAGCAGCCTGGTACAAAAAATTTATTTCTAATCATACGGTGCAAATTTTAAGTGCCACAGCATGATCAAGAAAATCAATGTAGCGAGCACTCAAGAGCAAGCTATCTTTTTAATCAATCAATAAAGCCATTACTTCCCAATCATATAGTTTACATATTACGGGTACAATCTATCTTGAAATTCTAGAAATCAAACATATGAGACAGACAGGCACCCTAACTCTAGCAAACGGAAAAGACCATACCATGCAATTGATTGGCATCCCCCTTTTCTAAATTTATTGACACCTCCACCAAGGAGCTCTAGCCTCAAAAGTGTGCTTCTCATCATCCCATGATATCTGACATGCTTGAAGACCGATAGCAACATTAGGTTCCTTTCCATGCCGTGCAATCCACCCTGCAACGGCTGTTTCTTTATCATTTTCAGTAGTATAATGCTTCTTATATTGGCCAAACGGGTTCAGTCCAGGACTTTCCATCTCTGCAACTGCAGCTGGCATGTACATGGAATCACCCACTATAGGTGCACCGCAGGCTGCCAGTTGCGCTCGAACCTGCATCGTAAATGTAGTTATTTCCAAAGCAATAATCCAAATCTGATCTTACTTGTAACACCAACTAATAATACAATCGTCCATACTGTTTTAATCTTTAATTCCTGAGTAGTCAATGACAAAACTAAATGAAACAGAAAGCAATAACCATGACGGAGTCGAGCAATATGTCCCTTGTGCCAAAGAACCTAAAAATCACGGTTTTCTGAACAGTTAATTGATATATCACTTTCCCACAATCTTGAAACTACTGAAATTTCTGCCTTTTGAAGTATTATATACTCTTGAGGCAGCTGGACCTCTCTTTAAAATTAAAAGGTAGTTTCATCCAGGAGGCACAACTTATTTCCTTTCTTTGGGCCAATCAGAAGCCACTATTAAGAAGACAGTATCTCAGAGATCTCAGAGAAACAAATTGAGGGAGTGGTCATCATCTTGCTCCAAATAGAGTGGGAAAAGAAAATGATACTAATTAAATTCATATATTAATACAATCTTTTGCTCCTTACCTGATGAGTCCGCCCAGTCAAAAGGTTGATTTTACATTCATACGCATAATCTTTTGAAGGCCACCCACAGTCTTCAACACAATATTTCTCTTCAACGACAGCATTTGGCCAGGGAACCTCCTTGCATTCCATAACCTCAAGTTGACACAAACTCCACCTTTCAATGAAATCTGCATACCACAACTTTTTGAGCATCATCCAGAAGGAGAGGAGTTTCCTATCAAGCATAGAAGTCTCATGGTGTATAATTTTTATTTTATTTTTCAGGTTACATTCATAAAGTATCTTTCATCAATTGAGTTTGTGAAGAAATATCTTTGAAGTTGTAGCCACAATGTTACAGTAAGTAAAAGAAAGCTTTAAACTCTGTCTAGTTTCAATGCAAGTTTTTAAACAACATTTATATAAAAGAAAATGAAACATAATCCTAAAGCTTGTTTTTAACAACAGCCTGTCTAGGTGAATCATCTCACCAAATGCCTGTGGAAAGTAATGGTTTCCTAATGTTACATACAAGTAGCACATACTGAAGTCATCATTTCAGCTCCAACAAGGAAAATAGAAAAGGAAATATAATTTGCAAAACAATGTGGTGAGAAGGTAATGACTTTAAGTACTTGACGCATTCAAAATGAAACTACTCAAACTCCAATCTAATTTCAATGCAGTGCTAGAAATAGATTATTACCTTCTGAAATGAGTCTAGGAGCCACATTAATTGGACGCATGTAGTGAGTAATTATTCCAGTTGGCACAGGAGCAGCAGCAAGAGCAAGGTAAACCTTCTTCACTTTTTTCTCCTAGGTATAAGAAAAGAAAAATAAACTTAATGACCTAAGAAGATGGAGCTCGGGGTTGGACTGCTGCAATAAGGAACCACTCAGATTCATAGTTATATAGCAGCTGGCCTTCCCCTCCCTGTAATTAAGGCTAGTTCAATCTAATACATGCCAACGTATGGTATTGCAAAACTTACTCTGATTTTCCCATGAAAAACTGAGCAATACTCCTTGGTTCTAGCTAAGACAACACTGCAAGTGAGTTAGTACTGTAGTATTTATACCACAACCTCTATGTCTCAACAAAAACCAGGACAAGAACTAATATAATATACCATACCATCCTTCTGTACAATTATCAATCTGATGTGTAGTATTCAGGGGGGTTGTAAGTCCCAAGGCACGAGTGGCAAAGGTTGCACAACTTTCTTCGATGTTGTCTGTAGTTCCTCCTACCTGAAAAAAATTTGCCATAAAATCATAGTAGTAAGCAACTAATTAACTATTCAAAAGAAAAATATTTGATAATGCCATAAAAAGATATGGCAAAACACATGATTCTGTAATGATACGTACTGTTGTACCCGCAGGTTTGTCCAAAACCACAAATTCTTCAGATACAGCTATAATTCTTGATTTCCAGTCAATTTCATAGCACCTGATGAAAATCCTGATGTGAACAAGAATTTCACTTGTAAAAATGATGATAGACCTGTCAAATATTGTGTTCTACCTAGGAAAACGTTTTGGGTGTACATGCACACGTAAGTATGTTCCAGCTTCAACAAATTCGTCTGCCTGTGTTATCCGGAAAGTTTTCTGCGCTTCTCTTACAGTTTTTCCTTTGATCGAAGCTCTATTCTTTAGTACTGAGGGTGCTGTAACTTCTTTAAATACCCTCATTTGCTCTGGGGTTGCGGTTGGAGGAGGCTTTGGACATACAAGGGCATAATACACAGCTCCAAAATGGATGAGATCTGCAACAAACCTTCAAAGAATGAAATTTTTTCTATTTATCACTAAAATTTGAGAATGACAGAAATCATATGTCATACATCAACTTAAAACAATGAGAATACAAAAGAGCAGTACTCACTGAGGAGGAAGATCCAGAGTTTTACAGATATATTCTAGAACAGGCCCCCCTTCTGAAACAACCAAGTGCTCAACTCTTGGTGGTCCATTGTGTGAGGGACATGGAAGCAAGCGAGTATATTCAGGGTAGCTGAAAGAAGATATGCTATCAAAGTCAGTAAACTAAAAGAGTAGGCACTAAAAAGGTAACTACATAAAGAATGTATAGTTTCTCATTGGTTAGGACGAAAAAGGGCAGAAATAAGTGCTAAATGTACAATTGCATACCCTTTTTTAAAACAAAAGTTGGGGAATAAAAAGGATGCTTTGAGATTCTTAAGCCATAAACAATGAGGAAAATAAATAACTTAGAACTTCATGAAATGTAGTTTCACTCAGTTTTAGTTAAAGCATCTACTTTCAAGTTTTAAACAATCCAAATGCCGAAATTGCAGATACCCAACAACATATAAGCAGTAAATATTAAAAACTTTGGATTCCAGCATCTTCATTTCCAATCAAAGTGCACCAAATTTCGACCAGTTTAGTAAAATGCTCACTTTCAGCAAAAGAATATAAAAATAAAAAATTAAGCCAAAATCTCAGGCATTAAAGTTGGAAAATTTGAAGGTACCCATTTACAGAAGAAACGGCAGTTGGTTGGGTAACGTCTTGTTTCAAGGATTCGCATGCAAACGTAGTTCGTTTCTTTGAACTCCGAGAAAAACAAGCCACCTTAACATGCTTGTAGTTGTTGGCGTGTTCACTGAGAGCGACATGGGTGAGTGCTAACGTGCGCACAAGTGCCACTGGCGCACTGAAATTCCGGCAACCATTGGCCAACATTGAGGTAAAGCTCACAGACCCCATCTTCCCTCCAAGCCTGAAGCTGAAAGTACAGCTACCGCGGTGCTTGAGGTGATTATGAGGCGAGGTTCAACTGAGATTTTGATTTCAGAAAATCGGGTAGGAGTCGGGTTTTAACATTGCAAAGGGCCAGGTCCGTGAAACATGACCCAAGTTCGACCCACGACTGATTGGGCCTCTGTTACCAGAAAGCAAACGGGTCAAAATTCAATGGGTCAAAGCCATTGAAGTCAATTTGGGCTCTTTTGGTGCTGTCTCTGTTACTCTTTTTGTTTTCATTTTTCTCTCTTTTTGGTTCTGTGTCTGTGTTCCTCTTTTCGTGCTCTCTCTTACTCATTGAGTATTATGTCATTGACTTGACCCTTCATGGTAGAGGAGAGTGGAGGAGAGGAGCTAATTTAGCCGTAGTAGCTACACGCAGCAGCTAAAAGCAAGATAAGAACAAAAAACAGAGTTAAGTAAGTGTAAGAAAAGCATGGAGATGGAGGGCTGGGTGTCAATGCCAAAGGTGGAACTTCACGCTCACCTCAATGGATCTGTCAGAGACTCCACTTTACTGTTTGCTCCTCTCTCTCCCTCTCTGTGTCTTTCTTGTAGTGGGTTATCTGCTGCTTTAAGCTTTGCTGTGTTTTTAGGAAGCATAATTTATCTTTGGTGTTTTGTTTTGGCTGCAGAGAACTTGCCAGAGTTTTGGGTGAGAAGGGTGTCATAGTTTTCTCAGATGTGGAGCACGTTATACTGAAAAGTACGCCCATTTCTTTTAATTGCTTATTGTACTGTTTGGTTGCTGAGAAAACGTAGGAAAGAAAATCAAGCAAGGGAATTTATCTTTTCCATTCATCTTAAATTTTCCATTTTTATGCCTGGGATGTCAAAATCCTCAACTCAAATGTTCCCATTGCATATCAATTAAAGACTGAACTGATTTTCTACCTCATTTTTTTCAGTTCATTTGTGCTAACACATGTTTTTTGGCAATGCAATTTCAATGTTTTCTTGAATCTTAACATTGGAACTCTATCTATTCTTGGACTCAGATGAACGTTCTTTAACCGAAGTGTTCAGGTTGTTTGACCTGATCCACATTCTTACTACTGACCACAAAATTATCACAAGAATTACCAAAGAAGTATGATAACTTTCCAATTTATTTAGTCTTTACTTCCAACATTTCAATGTTGATACTTGATACTAGATTTTCTCGCAAACAGGTTATTGAAGATTTTGCTTCTGAGAATGTTGTGTATCTGGAGCTAAGAACAACTCCTAAGGTGGCTTACTAAAACAAGCCAAGTGTATGAATTATTCCTACTAAAATGACCTATATTATATACTTGATTGATATGATAATAATGTGTTTAAATCTATGCAGAAAAATGAGTCCATAGGAATGAGCAAGCGCTCTTACTTGGAAGCAGTATTGGAGGGTATAAAGGCTGTCAATACAGTTGATGTTGCTTTTAGGCCTCACAATGCTGATGTCAGCAATGTCAAGAGGTCTTCACTTATAAATGATACATGTAACGGAAGTACAAGAAAAAAGATTTATGTTAGGCTTCTTTTGAGCATTGACCGTAGGGAAACCACAGAGGCTGCAATGGAAACTGTATGTCATGAAACCGTATTCTGAAGAAATATTTGAGCACATGTTTTTTTCTCAATGGACAATGCATTTGACTGTTTTTCTCACGTACTGTAGGTGAAGCTTGCACTGGAAATGAGAGATTTAGGGGTAGTTGGTATTGACCTTTCTGGAAATCCAATTGTGGGAGAATGGTACTTAATCACCATTGAGAGTTTGTTGAAGAAGAGTGTTGCATTTTTTATGTATAGTTATAATATAACCCTGTATATACGTATATTGTATCTGTGGCAGGATGACATTTTTTCCAGCATTAAAATTTGCTAGAGAGCAGGGTCTTTATATAACCCTTCATTGTGGAGAGGTGCGTTTGTTCTTCTTATGCCTGCAGCTTGTGCCATATAATCACCCTGATTAATTTATTTCTCTAAGCGCTCATAGGTGCCTAATCCAAAGGAGATACGAGCAATGCTGGATTTACTACCGCAGAGGATTGGTCATGCATGTTGCTTCGAAGAAGAGGAATGGAAAAGGTTGAAATCTTTGAATATCCCGGTGAGATAATTGTGCAACCAATCATTATAACTTATTATAACACAATTCTAGATAATAGCTTTTTGATTGCCACAGGATAGATGCCAGTTCAATCTTAAAATATCCTTGTGGATGATAAGTAAACGAGCTTTAGACATCAAATGCTGAGCTATTATTTCCAAATAGGGTATTGAGTTTCTGGCCAGTTCCATCTCTGCTTAGACACATTATGAGAAGAAACCAGGGACAAACATCTTTTAGGTTGCTCATGTACAATGAAACCTCTCATCTTTAATGCCTTTGTTTTATGTTTGCTGTCGTAACTTACACATTGTTTTTATGAAGTTGTTAGTTGTATAGTTTTATTAAATTTGACTAGCTAACTTTTCTGCATCTTCAAATTGGTTTGTATTTGCATTTTTCAGGTTGAGATTTGTTTGACATCCAACATCAGGACTAATTCAGTTCGTTCAATTGAAGTTCATCATTTTGGTTCGGTCTTTTGCTTCTATTATGACTTAATTATCTATAGTCAGTAATAATTTTAAAATTTGTTAAATTTCCTCTCCTAAACAAGCATTTGCTATAATTTTGTGGTGGTTGGAACCCATGTTTTTCTTTACTACAGACAAGCTTTGAAGTCCCTTGTAACAACGTTTATTTGATGATGCAGCTGATCTGTATAATTCAAAACATCCTTTAGTCATCTGCACCGATGATTCTGGGGTGTTTTCTACCAGTGTTTCAAAGGAGTACAACCTCGCTGCTTCTGCGTTTGGTAGGTCTGATTTCATTGGAGCATGTAATGTAAATTAGAGTGATAGCTAACACTCACTTCTTGTTTACTTTCTTGACTTCTTAGGTCTTGGAAGGAGGGAAATATTTCAGCTAGCACGAAATGCAATTGAATATATATTTGCTGATGATGAAGTGAAGAGAGAATTGAAGGAGATCTTTAATTCTGCTGAGCTTGATCAATGATTTCAATTGCATTAAGGGGCATGCGTAACTGCTCATAGTACAGTTGTTTGCAAGCACAAGAGCTACTCATTTTCTGCAGCAAAAATCATATCTCAATTGTGGCCGAGCACCAGCTGATACACTGGCATTCAACTTTGCAGATTTCTTAGCTCGATCGTATCAAGTATTCAGCCGTCCAGTCCTGGAAGTCCATATATGATAATTGGAGTATAATAAAGTTATTAGAATGTCCTAGGGAAGTCAGAAGTAGCTGGTAGACCAGGCCTCCAATTTCAGTTATTGAAATTTTTTAAAATAATGATTTTCTTTTTAAGTATATCACAATCTTGATTGAATAATAGAACAAACTTTATCACAGATGTTTCATATAAGAATTTATTTCTCATGTTTGAAAATGGTGCTTCTGATATGGGTCATTAGAACAATATGCAGCTTGGCTATTCCAACATTTCGGAGCTTGTCAGGTGTAATTCAATGCTTGGCTCTAGGTTTGAAAGGGAAATGAATTGAAGAGAAAATGAGGGTAATGAATTTTGTGGTGCTTTTTCCATTATAGTGTGACTTGGTTTTTGCTTCTTGATTGGAATTTCACCATCATATCAGCTAATTGCTAAATATCGGTATCTCCCTCAAGAAAGCAGCATTTTGATTCATGGAAAACACAAGGCACTGTCTTAGTCTTTGCTACAAGTAGATCTCCCATGCACTGTTTTATACAAACGATATTGAGATAGGGGAATTGGAATATGGGACGTGTATAAATAACTACTCTTGATCACGTGAGTTACACGTCCTTAGCATGTATTCCCAATAATTCAATTATCATTTTCTCCTTCCTTCCAACTTTTTTCTTTTTGGCAATGTTTAAAAAATCGTTAGGCAGTAGGCGGGTGGCAAGCAGGGGCCTAGAGCCTATGCAGAGTTTCTTTTTTTTATAATTATTTTGTATTATAAATTTATACTAAAGTCTTGCAAAATAAAAGGATATATAAATTATAAAGTACCATAAATTTTATTTTTTTTGTTGGAATTAAACATGGGTAAAAAGTTGAGCATAAAGCAGAGGATCTCTTTATTCAAAGTCAAGGAAAAACACTCGACCCGCCCAGGCGCCTAGACCCGCCTAGGCCAATTTTTGGACACACAGCTTTTTGATCGCAAAACTCATAGACTCGTATCTTTACTGTATGTATAAGAACTAAACGACGCCGTATCCAGACTTTCAAGTAAATAACCTGAATCAGAATATTATTATATATTCCTTCAGTTTGTTTCCGTTTCACATTTGTAAATTGTCTGTCTGTCTCTGTGTGTAAAACTCCAAGGCTCGCGACACAACGATTGACATACAGACTCGTCTCCCTTCTCTCCCGCCATTAATCCCAATTTTATTCCTCCAAAAACCCTAACCTTCAACCCCCATTTCTCATCCAAACCCCAGCTCCCATCACCATTTCCAACTTCACTAGATCCCTTCTTTCATGCACACACAAACATGGTCACGGCCACGACATGAAACCAAATGCCACTCGAGCTGAACTCCCCGCCGTCCGATCAGATCGTCTTTGGATTTGAACCCTAATTGGGATCAAATCACAATGTCTTGGGGATTGGGCTGGAAGCGGCCCTCGGAGATCTTCCATCTCACGCTCACATACGGCACCGAGGGTCCGCCGGAGAACTTCAACCGTACGTCGTCATCGTCCTCGTCTTCAATAGTTTCGCAGGATCAAGAATTAGGGTTTCGAATCGACTTGGATTGGTCGGCCGGAGACGATGAGGAGCAGGTGGCGCTCAGGCTCCAGTCCCAGCTAATGGTGGCTTTGCCGATGCCACAGGACACGGTGGTGGTCGAATTGAGAACCGAGGAACCTGAAGAAGCCGAGGAGGCTAATGTGGGTGTGGATATGAGGGTGGTGAGGCGCAGAGAGCCGTTGAGAGCCGTGACCATGACCAAGGCCGCCGGGTCGGGCCAGCAAAGCGATGGCACTGGGG